CAGGGAAAAAAGATATTAGAGGCAAACACCAAGAAGAATAATGAAACAAGGAACATACAATAATTCACAAAAGCTATCATCATAACTTCATCTTAATTTCCGTCTACGACACATAAGAGTCTAGGAGGAAAACAAAATTTAATAATCAGACTTGTATCAGAGATATTGACCTTGAAAAAAATCAGCCAATAATGGCTTGTCATGTGACTTGTGATGACATCATTACGACGTCAATGTTCAGAGCACAAATTTAGCCTAACTCTTAACTTGGTTTTAGTTTGATTAAGATTAACGATTTAAAACTGGCAAAAGTGCCACTGAGAAAAATGATGTAAAAAACCTATTGGATTATAGACAGAAAAACTAAGGAAACGAAGAAAACAAAAGGGAAAAACATTGACAGAAACTATGGCTTTTCAGCAACCTTCAGGAAAAGCCAAAAGGGATAATTAAATGTGTTGAATAAGAAAATTGGGCTGTTGACAGCTTCCACATGGTTTTTACATAATTTATGCATAATTTATTTGTCACATACCTGTGCTGTGGTTCCTTTTAATTTCATTTTCAACACAATTTAATGATACTTAACTCTCACTGATGTTCTTTTTCTCATTTAGTGTTTACCCCAACAAAAGTTTTGCATCTACCCGAAGTTGGCCTTGGACAAAGTTGAGGCAATAGACAAACTGGAAACACAACATGGCTGAGAAGTTAATGTCTTTGCAAATGCAATAATAACACAGGCGTAAAACGTCCAGTGGGGATGTTTATTGACAAACTGAGTTACAACTACTCATGCTACACGTACCCTACTTCGGTTTTGGTATGCTCATCTTTTTTAACCTCCCCCCCCAAAAAAATAAATGAATAAAAACATCAGTCACCAAAGTCAACGTTTGGTGCTTGGAATTGCACTTTGAACAAAAATTTGAAGAACCTGGAGCAAGGAATTTGCAATGCGATTAGGGTGTGGAGGGGTTGCCTATGAGAGGTTAGATGCTCAATCTTCTGAACCGTCCTTAGGTAATAATGCCCGCTACATGTACTTGGCCATCTGAAGGATGTGGGTGCTATTAAAATCAGCCTTGCACAAACCTGAACACCAAATCTTCCAACTGCAAGTCAAGAGCACCAAAAATCTTGAGGCCACTGGATATAGATACAACCACATCACAATTACGATGTAGGCGATCTCTTGGCAACATTAAAATTGAACAAGATAGACCTGAGATTGAGCATTAAGAATGTATTTTCTTGACCACTTGTCCGTAATAAGTCCTGCACGATGCCCGTGATGCCCTGCACTTCAAAGTGGCGCTTGTTGGTTCTGGAATGGTAAAGAATAGATGTGGAAGAAATAGGAAGACATCTGCTTAGTTCAAGGAAGGCTTAGAATGTATCATGTGCTTATGACAGTCAAACATGGCTATTTCATGAATACACAATTGTTTGTGACTAGATGGGGCACCCTGTGTTTTGTTTACAACAGCCCACAATGGACGAAAGGTGGCTTGCGGGGCATGGGTTGCCATAAAATTGATACAAATAGTGCATGGTGCATGGAACTTATTTTCACGGGAATGAGCACAAAACCGGTACCGTAGTCTCTCATGGCAACAATGCACCTGTTAGACAGTAGAAACAGCCAAAAAATGTTTGCCCGTAAACAATATTATGATTAAAATGTAGCACATTGTGCAATGTTAGAGATGATACATGTCCTGATGATGGTGTATTGTGTGGCCTGGTGCTTCTTTAATTGCATCGTTCTTTGATTCCTTGACCGTGATTTATTATCAGTTTTTTAGACTGATTACCTCACTTTGCTGCATCACCTTACAGTATTTAGAGTGCTTTATAAATTTCATGTTGTTATTATATATTATTGGAGAAAGTTACTCCTTCCATGCAAAAGCTGACAAAACTGAGAGAGTTCATAAAATCCTCCAAATTAGAGGCACTACTGCCTGAAATGATAGTCTTATGTAAAACAGACAAGATCTTTCCTTTAAATGATGTGTAATATATAGTTCACTGTTTTTAAGACTGTGAGAATTACCCTCACGGCGTACAAGCTTAATCTATGTGTCATGGAATTGGCAAGGCAGAGTCATACACAGGAGTCACAGTTCATAAAGTGGACTCTGTCTTAACTACATGCTGCCGGGAGGTTTGAAAAATGCAGTACACGCAAACGGGATATTTTCAAGATTTTTTGTCCCTGGTGGTAATCCGCTTGCGCTAAATCCCCCAAACCGTGGTATACTGTTTCAAAACAAGGTCGGATTTTCTCCACTATTGAGAGTGGAAAAATGTTTGTAATGCCCAGCAGCCTAGTCTTTTGTTATGAGTACGGTCTTTTGTTACAAGGCCCAGTTCCCTTTGTCCGATTTCGGAGACCCCGGCCACGCGTATATAGCATACCTGTCTGGTACTGGAAACCCCGGCAGCAAGTGGTTAAGCTTGCATTTCAACTGAACATTCCAAACAAAACAAGCAATATACACTTTAGCAAAAATGGGGACTGACCATACAAAACATAACAAATAATTGCTCACAAGAACAGTTTCCTAACCACATGTTCACCATGAAGATAGGAGTGATGGACCCAGATTGTTCTTGTTTCAAAAAATATTGTTGCACTAAGGGATTTATGAGCAATTCAGAGTAAAATTGTCCCGTCACCAGCAAACAAGCAAAGACAAAAACAGCAAAACACCAACCCCCGTGAACTGAAAACTACCTGGAAAAAATTATCTTAATATCTTACTGCACCAAAATCCATCTAAATTAAATTTCTACTTTTGTTATATTTTGATGGATATCAGTTCAGCCCATTGCAATTATCTTTACAAACATAGATGTTGAAATGTTAGTTTACTAAGCAGTCCTAAACTGTCAATTCAGGGAGCGTCTTCCAACAATGTGACAAGGACGGCGGATTAAAAAGCCAATAATCTTGTATGAATATTGTGCTGTCTATCTTTACATTATCAAGCAACAGTTAATCCCAGACTTATTCAACTGAAAGTTTAGAACCTATAATTGCATGAAGTCCCAGATATTTGCACTTACTTGATTTTTGAGAGCTTCTGCAATATGATGCTAAGCTTCTCCCAGAGCTTGGGATCTAGGTTGGGTGTGCGGAGTACCGTAGCACAGGCTCTGAACCACACATCTGTACTACAACTTTCCAAAAACTCTTGTGTCAGTGCTAAAAATGGACAAACAAGGGACAATTAAAAACAACAATTGTGGCACAATTTTGTAGTTTGGTTTTACTTCCAAAATTTCTCAACAAAATCCTTCTAAAATGGTTTTCTTAATACCTGAAAAATTAAGTAAATGGACTTACATGTATGAATCCCCAGTCCTGTGATTTGGAACCAGTTCCAACCACCAACAGTCAGGTACCTGTTTGCAAGCCACAACACTTAGCATACCTGATTCCATGGACATCTGGAGGAAGACGTCTACTGCGCTGCTTATCAGGGCCTTGTGGGTTGTCTTCAGGTAAGGCACGACTGCCTGCGTGGCTCGGTAACGCAAATACAGCTCCTTGGCTGAATCCTCCTTAAGATCCATCCGCAGGACGTCAAACACCTGTGCCAGGTAGTCCACTGCCAATATGAATCAACAGATTAGCAGCATGCAGATGTAGCTGGCATATCCACATTATATGACGAGATGTTTCCAAAAGGCGAGACTTGACCTTTTGCCTATTACAAAACTGATAACTGACCTCACACTGGGGGAAATCAACATCAATTTTCATAGGAGCACAGGCTTTAAAAGTGTGCAAGCTCAAGAAAGCAGTATACAATTCTACTTTGGGCATGTTAATTGGAGGGCCACTGGTTAACAGAAGGTTGATTTGTGTTGGATCTAGACAGCTGATGCCCTGTAGTCAGACTGTGGTCAAATGTTGACACAGAATTGTACTACCGGCTCAGAGAGAAGTGTGGCTACTGATGATCTGTGATGCAAGTGATGTCTTAAGGCTGGTCCTGCTCAGCCGAGCACTGCCAACTGGCACAAGTTTTCCCTTGCATCTCTTTGACCTACTGTCTCTGATGACCAGCCATGCCCAAACCGGGTATTGTTGTTTAGGGCTATTGCTATTGGCCAAGGCAGGCTGATGGGAAAGCCTAAAGCTATTGCCATAAAATATGCCAGTCAGACATGGCCTGAAGTCAGAGTTGGAGATGGATCTATTGCTTTGATTAAAATAGCTCTTTGTTGGAGCACAGGAAAACAAATGACCGCACTGTTGGCCACCTTGATCTGTGAGCCAACAACAGTGGGCCACATCTCACCTTGAGACAGAGTCTTCAAAATGATGAGACATGACAGCATCCTGATGTGAAGGTTGGGACTCCTGAAGAACACAGCTGCTTTGGGTTTTTCGTGCAGGCCCTCTGGTGTCTTGATGTTATCCACTGCTCCAGCAAATCGAACCACCGTGGGTTTATACAACTCCTCTCCAAGCCGACGATAGGTAGAGGAAAGGGGGTTGCGTGGCTGAGAGGAAAAAAAAAAAAATCAGAAAGGTTGTTGTCATCAGTATTACCACTGCATTGTGGCTATGACGAAAAACAATGTCCAGTTGAATGTGAATAAAAGCATACCAGGATAGTTTGAAATAGTACTTTTAAAATGGGCGAGGGACCTGGGGTTGATAATGGCCCGGGCTGAAAAAACCCATTCACCTATATCTTATGGGGTATAAAAAATAAAACAAGTTGATATTTAGCATTTTCCAACAGTTTGTTCACCAGTTCAACCCCACAATCAATTAACCACTCCAGCCATACAAAAGCAGACTGAAATTCTGACTAAATGATATGAGGAATCACAGGGAACTTCCACGCAAAAGCAGGAACATTCATGTATCTGTAGGAACCTTCAGAGTCAGCAAGAATGGTCCATTTTGTGCGTACAGTAGGCAGTGCTGAGGCATCATTCTGGTGGGAATGCTGTGGTCCAAGTGGAAGGTCGCCCATTACGGTATGAGAACATGGCGTTCCAATCGAACGTTCTGACTTCTGAAATACGAGACACTTCCTTACAGTGCATAAAAGGGGAGTCAAATTTGCATACAAGACCAGGAGAGTGTTACATTAATTACTATTTTTATCATCCGTTAAAACCACCCACACGATGGGATCTTGATCGATGGGAATGGGTAGCTGCCTGATGTATTCATGAATGAGTATAAAAAAAGTCAGGATTTTTTTCATTAGTACCATCTTCGTAGTACCATGACAACCCAGCTTTGTGAAGCTGTTAAGCAGAAATGATAACAATAACAGTAATAATGACCATTTATAGAGCGCAAAGATCCACCAAGGTGCTCAAGGCGCTAATACAATGAAATCTATTAAATGCCTCATTGAAGAGATGAGTTTTCAGATCCTTCTTAAACTTCAGGAGAAAAGGGGAAGATCGTAGCCATGCCGGTAGACAAGATACATGTATACTTGGCACATTAACATTTTCTAAAGTAGAGAAAGACAACTGGCCAAAGTGCCAGGAACTGCATATTACTTGTGGCAGGTTTCAAGCAGATTTCAGCTCACCAAACTTCCTGGCCAGTACTTTCTGTGGAGCATCCATTTTTTTGTTTCATCAAAACTCGTCAAAACTAAGTCAACCAAAATACACCCCTAAAGGATGCTGATATTTGTCTTCCTTTTCATTTGATATTTATTCCAAGTCACTGCTACTTGTGGGACTTTTGGACAAATCCTAATTTGCCGAGTGCAGAACCATTCACTTAGCAAAAACAAGTTACCAGCTAGACTTTTCAAGTAAAAGAATCTGGCTGGGCGAACTTTTCTGTTTACCAGCTCTATGAAACCTTGCCCTGCTCGAACATTTCCCAAGTTACTTTTCTTGTACTCTTCTTGTATCTAACCTGTGAAACTTGACCCTGGTCCAGATGCACCAATGACCAATAAATGAACTGCAGGCATGGCAGATGCATCTTGAAACTTGCTGCCGGCAAACTGTGTAGAACCTCAACAAGTGAGGGCAGTATCTAGGAAAGATCCAATCCAACAAGGGACTGAAATACAGATTGTGTGAATTTCTGCTTTCTTTACGGTTTTACCTTTTTGGGCCCTAAACCAAATTGATACGCACTTTAACCATATCCTGCTGGGGAGCCTGTTTTCGGGTACCTTGGGTTTGTACGCATAGCCGGGGTGCCTGAAATCGCATGAAAGAGCTTGGGCCTTGTAACAAAAGACCATACTCAGAACAAAAGACAGAGCTGCTGGGAATTGCCAACATTTTTTCAGTTGTCAATAGTGGAGTAAATCTGTCGTTGTTTTGAAGGATTATACGAGTTGCGAGTGGATTACCACTGGGGACAAAAGTGCTCCGGCACTCCAGAGATGAGTGATACAACACCGTTACACGCTAATCTAGCCCGTAATGAAAAGATGCCAGAAGCGCACTGTGCCAGTTTAGGGAACAAAAGAAACTTATGTAACATTGCACAATCTGGGCTCTTTTTACAAGGCCTGGCTGAAATACTCTTGTATCAGTGAATGCTGTCCGTCCGATTAGAGTAGCCACCAGACAGTCACTCCATGGGGTTTAGGCATTTGGGAAAAAAAGGTAAGAATTTTGAAGATTTTTGAAAACCGAAGATTTTTAAAAGTCGCCCGTATGTAGGCACTGCATTTTTAAAAGCACCCAGCAGGAAATGGTTAAGCTCAATGTTTTCTAATATACCTAGTGGAAAACCCATGATCTCCAGCTTAAATGTGGGGACATCATCAATACTACTCAGCTATCAAGCTTTTAACTCAAAAAGGGCTCGGGGTGAAATTTGCCCTTCAACATTTTCTCTGATATTGTCATGGCACCAAGCCATCCCAAAAGTTCCCTACGGTACATTGTCTTGGAGACATTTCAACACCAATTTTGTGAAAATCGGACAGACCTTTCTTGTAAAATACAGATTTTTCCACACCATGCATGTCAGCCAACAAATGTACACGTTTCCTTGAATTGCACGCAGGCTGACGTGTGTGAACTGCCTTTAACTAACAACAAAACCATTTGTCTTATGATTTGAAAGTGAAAAACCTGACTGAAACTTCACAGGAACACTTATGAGTGTTGAAAAGGACTGGGCACTTGACAGCCAAGTTTGGGGGAGGGGGAGAGAGAACCCCGCCCCCGACGGCTGAGCGGTAAAAAAAAGCCTGACTATTTTAGGTTTAAAGGGTTGACTAGCCAGGGCACATCCAATGAAGCAGTCATTACTATAATCAACTTAAGATGGAATGCTTGCTTTTAGAAGACAAAAATTTCAATACATATGCTCTTCTCTAACAGTGCTTCGATTATATACTACATATGCAGCACAAAGTGGCCCCCTATTTCTTAGTACACATGTAGTTACATGTAGTTACTTTGGCGCAACGTTCTTTAGTGACGGCGGATGCAGGCAACAATGTTAGAGGCTGTTTGATGTCATCCGTCTGGACATTCTGGAGATGAACTTCACTCAGCCATGCAAGCATGAAACCAAGGACGTCATAAATGGCTGTTGTCTGCAAACAAATTGGGGAAACAGTGGGTGACACCAATCTTGAATTGCAGGATGGAAACTGGAAATGACAAGAACCCATGAAATGCCCACAGAGGGTTTGTGATAACGACTACAAAAATTGTGTGGCTTTTAAGAGGTTAAAATAGCAAATTTTTTTCCAATAGGAAGTGAAAAAGTAGCAAAACTGGAATGATTTAACCTCTACAAATCCAGAATTTGAGTTACCACAATTCTGAAATTTGAAAGCTCACACAATGATTTATTTGTACACTGTAGGATGCTTGAGGGCAACTACTGCCTTGAGTCTGGTCCGAAATGGGCTTACAGAGCTATGGCTAGGTCTATTGTCTGCACGTCTCCACGCAATTCAAATGGAGCGAAGACCTAGACCTAGCTCTAGACAAGAGATTTGGATGCAGCCTCAGCCAAGGTTAAAATCTGACGGCTTCCAAATTAATGGACCTTTCCCATGAAATATGCAAATTGGACGGGCGCATGCGCACTACTTCCACTGGTTGGCAAGTGCAGCCGTCAACACTGTCGGTAGCTTAGGCGAGCTGCTAGTAACCATAACCTGGTGCGTTGCCAGTCAATCAAAACCATATTACAGCCTTTGCCTGATACTTGAGCACGCTTTTCTTGAAACTAAGTGAAGTTTTCAGTGTCCTGAGGTTGGAAAGTAACAGTTCCTTTTCTTTAAGTTTGGCACTCATGTCAAACTATACTAGCACATAAACGGCGATAGTGACGCACATGGACATTTGTATTGTTACGTCAAAGATTAAAGCAACTTTGCCAACCAGTGGTACTGATGCGCATGTGCCTGCTTTATTTGCATATTTCATGGGAAAGGTCCATTGTCTTTGGCCAATGACTACACATGGGTTTACCTGCCTCCTAAATTTGTGCACATTCTGACGAAAATTCTAGGGCTGAGTCAATTCAAATAATTCACCATTCGAATATTCGACCTTGAATTCAATCGAATATCCGAAAATTTGGCCGTACTGACTGGCGGATTGGGGATGAACAAACCATATACAAAATCAGTTGCAATAACACACACATTTGTACATTATAATTAATATAACGGCTTCTCTAGGAATATCTCCAGCCATGATTTAGCAAGATTTAAGAGATGAGCAATAGGAATAGTTTTTGTCCTGTTGAAAATTTCTATTTGTTTTAAATTGTTTAATGTATGATTTACTTTATGAATTGTACAGATTTCTGTCGCCTTTCATTTGAATCTTCTTGAAACAAGCCTTCTGAGTGCAATTTTTCTCATTTAAAACCAAAAAAATATTTTCCCTACCTTTTCATGAATTTTGCATTTGAATTTTCAAATTCGGAAAATTATATTCAAATATTCGATAATTGATTGAATATTCGGTTATTTGGATATTCAGCACAGCCCTTGAAAATTCCTCACAGGTAATGTAAGGATTAGACGGTTCACTGTTGTTATTACAGATCTATTTTATTTCTGTTGAACTCCATTACTTTTCATACCTTGCTCAGTTTGGACACCCCTGCGGTCTTGATTGCCTCCATTGTGTCTTTGGAAACAGACACTGGACGACTCTCAGCCCTTGCTTTAGCAGACACACTGTTGAGTGCCCTCTGTCTCTCACCAAGTTCCTGCTTGCGCTGCAGGTTGGCCAAGCGACTCTGCACGCTAACAGCTTGAGATTCCAGCTTCTTATTCTGCTCCTGGACTTCGTTCAGCTGTGTAAAGGGACAATGGACCAAAACTGATTTAAAAACACATTGTGAGCGCAAGTGGGTTTTTTTCCACATATTTCTCAAATTTATGAGCAGTACACAGAAAATTAAACTACACGTATAGTGCTGATGGACTGAACTTAAGCAGGTGTAACAATGTTATTCAATTGTTTTGTCTGCATGCAAAGAACAAGATATATCTATATGCAGGTGCACACCCACCAACTACCACAGTTAATGAATAGTTTTTGCACCTTTTTTAAATTTTGTACAAGCAAAGCTGCCTGTCCTCAGGAATGGTTGCCAGGTGAGACACTGCTCACCAGAACTGGAAGGGAAAGGCTGACGTACCTGTCGCCGTAAGGTGTCGTTGGCCTGCTTCAGGGTGTCAAAGGAAGCCTTCAGTCGCCTTGTCTCCTTTGTCTTATCCTGTAGCTGGTCTGTCATCTTAGAAAGTTCACTTTGGTGTCGCTGCCAATGAAGAGAAAACAACATTTTCATAGGGACATGTATTTCTGGTGTGTGGTTTGGCAGTCACCTCCAAGTATTGGTTTAGGCAGTATTTTTTACTCAATTGTTTGGGAAATTTTCCCATGTATTCTTGTGCGATTAAAATGCCAAAGAAATTTACCAGTTCAGTATTCCAACAGTGTATGCTAACAATGAAACACATCATTGTTCATTCCAGAACTGCAATACATACATGTAAAGGTTTAAGCCCTATCAGTCTGGCCATACACTGACTCGTACATACCAAGCATGTTGGAGCTTGTCTACTTTGTTCTTGAATGACATTGTCTCCTTTGGAAATACTGAACTGGGCCATTCCAGGTTATAACTACAGAAATGAACCTCAGGTTACAGGAACTGAACTACCGAATTCTGGGCCAGTTTAACCTCATATATTACTCTTCGTCAAAACAGATTCCAGTCATATTCATCCTCAGAATGTGGCCATCTTTGTATGCATGAACTTTCACAAATAAACCAACCTCCTTCAACACAGCCCATCGGCGTTCTACCTCTTTTTGCGCATTGCGCAATGTGGAATCCTGCTCAATGAGGCTCGCCTGCTCGCAGTCAACAAGTGCCCTCTCTCGTTCCATGAGGGCCAACTCCTGCTCATGAAGAATGGCACTTTCTCGCTGCATGAAACAAAACAATTCTGTTTCAAGTAGAAATCGCTCGATTTCTTTTACTAATAAGTGACTTTTGTACTAAAATTTGAAGTACAGATACCCCCATGTTTAAAACTAAGGACTTGTGAATCACTGAGCATCAAATCAAATCTTCTTAGACTAGGTCTGCATGTATTCCCAATAGCTTGAGTTGTCAGTTGCTTTCCACAAATGAGACATGTGGCCCACAGGAGTTTGGTATCTAGCAGGTGGTTACATGTAATTTCTATTTGCCTCCATCCATCCAGAACTACATGTAATTGTTCCCTGTGAGAAATCGCTGTGGTCATTGTGAAAAGCCAACTACACTCAGTGGGGCTAGAATTAGGGATCAACCAATGATATGATTCAACATCGGATTGGGCCGATGTTCGGCAACATCATCAAAACATCAGATCGGCAACAGAGCGTGAAATTACGGTCGGACGTCAGACATTTTCCAAGCACTTAATATGTTTGTCCGAACATAATCAGAGATGCTTGGGCAAATTGTCTGACCAACATATCAATAATCAACAACTCATAATCCCACAACACAATGTGTGGGCTTATGGCATCCAATTTATTATTAGTTTAGTGTTAGAATTACGTTAATTACGCCCAAGGCATTCATCGGGGCTGATGGCTCATCACTGGCCCATGTCACCCAGCGCCATGCGTGTATGAACATATGTGAGTATACCTTGCTTGCACAGACATGAAACCGCTCCATAATTCCTTGTGCATCGTATAACGTAGATCATGCAGTCAACCAATGTTCAATTTTCCATGGTAACCCACGCATGACACATAACCTGGGTACCAGGCAATATGAACCAGTAGTGGTTGGCTGTGTTCATGCAGTTCCTCCAGTTCAAACCGAGTGTGGTACGCGTGCATTATATTTCTGAATGCCCTCTTTGACCCGCAGGTCTTACTTCTGCCAAACACGAATAGTTTGCTCGAACGCAGCCCTTAGTCATGACTCAAATATTGCTTCTTGATGATTAGGATAAATGGATGCATGATGGCTAGACCTATACACTTACCGGAGTACAAACTTACATGTATGTAAGTATCCTTTAACCCTAACCCTCCTCAATCCTTCCCCTGTTGGAGGACTGAGGAGTGTTAGGGTTAATAATCATACTGTCTTTGTTAAAGTGCATGCTGTGGAGAGTACACAAATTTTACACTGCACGTTACAACTCTACCTTTTATATGACATGGCAGATCAAAAGCTGGTCATGGCAGAACAACATTGATTGTGTTGTGACATTTTGTCCATACTTTTTTGGTCTTATTTTGAGTTCTGGGCAAAATTTGACCTTCCTTGCCGATGTTAAATTGAAGAAAGGAAAAAACTCTGTACTAAGTTTTGGCAAACACAAATGTCATTTGTTTATTTGAGCATGAATAAAAACAGTGTTTTTTTCATTTGGTGAGACAAATGAACAGTTATACCGTGGTTAAACCTTCATAAAGTATCCCTGAAAATACATCTTCGCGATCCGTGTTGCAACAACTCAACGCACGGACCGCAGACCCAAGGAGCAGTCAGTGTACATATTTACCATTTCCATTGACTGCCATGAAAAGAGCAAGGGAACTACACCGCATGTGGCACCACAAGGTATTGTGTGACCGGTCTGAAGGTAGCTAGCGATTTAGCCTTTACTCAAGGCATGCGTGGACACATGATGTGCATCTTTGCTGTTACGCGTTGGCACGACGATTGTGTGGTGTTATATGACTTTCTTTTGTTCAGTGTGCTGCTGACCTCTTTTCAATAGGGGCCAGATTAGCACGAAGCGGTGCTGTGTGGTTCATTGCTGTGGTGGTGGAGAACTTTTGTCCCCAGTGGTAATCCGCTCACACTAAATGCCCAAAACCACAGTACACTGTTTCAAAACAAGGCTGGATTATCTCCACTATTGAGAGTGAAAAAGTGTCGGTAATCCCCAGCAGCTCAGTCTTTTGTGCCGAGCGCGGTCTTTTGTTACAAGGCCGGGCTTTTGTCCCGGTATAAGGCTCCCCGGCTTCGTGTATAAAGCCTATGTGCTCGAAAACGGGTCCCCCAGCAGCAAGTGGTTAATCCGGCCATGGCTGTTGGTTCTCATTGTAAAGGGTTGACTAGATTACTACCATCCATCACTTGGGTGAAGTTGTTCGAACTATGGTTTATTCCGAATAACACTTAAACTGGCCTGAAGTGTCAGTTTTTCATGCTGTTCTTACCTGCAGTTTCCTGTTGATTGTAGCCAACTCCTCATACACATCCTGCACTGCTGCCATCTTATGAACTGGCTCTTCTCGGTAGAAGGATGGGTCATCTCTGTTCATCGTCTTCTTCATTTTGGGTGCATTCTGGTGGGAGTACCTAGGCACAAAGTATTCCTCGCTCTCATACAACTGGTGAGGAGAGTCACTCGGGACCTCATCGGATGCCCGCAGGGAGGATCCTGGTGATGGTGACCCAGAGAAATGAGAAAGACTGGAATGTGGCTGATGCAGAGATTAATGACACCAAGGAATTAAACTGCGGAGTAGGTGTAACTTGAGCAGCAGTGGTGGTGATGGTGATGCAGATGTGGTAATGATAAAGATTCAGGGAGCGGTGATGACTCTGACAAGTCAATGACCAAGACAACGTCTACCATGGAAGTTTATGTATAAATTTGGAAGAGGTGGACCAAACCTTTACTCTAAGCTGCAAGGATGAATCACAGCTGCTAACTGGGCCATTCCATGAGGTTGGGGCACAATTTGTGATGGTGTCCTTTGTTACTTGGGTTCCGTAAAAATGAACAGCTATTTCCCTGCATGTGGATTCAAACTTATACATCTTGCAAGGCTGAATACAGAGGTGTGTGTTATTTTTACAGAGTAAATGACCTACATTGTACTCTACAGGTCATGACAGGTGGTAAAAGTTACTCATGTAACAAGGACACTGTCACAAATTGGGCCCCAACCTCATGGAATGATCCAACTACCTTGACCGCACTGTGCACAAAACCTTAAGCAGTGCTTCACAAAGAATTTCATGGTGAAATATTGCTACATATGTATGTCCCACTCTCCAGCAGTAAACAGTTGTTCATTAGTTCATATTCCTCATACAATGCTGACTACTAAGCCCATACCTTCGTCTTCCTCAACATCCTCTGCCAGGGTCATTTCCCTCCGACTCTGATCCCCCTCCCTGTCAATTCCACGATGCATTGTGTCCTCTAACCTCTGGCTGTCCAAACGCAGTAGTTTGCAGAGCTCCCTCAGGGCACGGTTGTAGTGCCGCCTCTCTGCACTGGTCAGCGTAGCCCCACTCATGCTGGGCAGGGTTTCGGATGACATGGGTGTCAGGGTACTAGGCGACATTGAGTGTCGAGCTGGAGAAGTGTCTATCAGTGAAATATTAAAAATAGACTCACTACTCAGTAATACTCTCTAGATGCAACATAATCCTGAATTACATGTATTTGTCAAAGATTTATGACAAAGGAATTTGTTGGGTCTCAACAGAAAGGGAAAGCCTTCACTGACAAGGAACTGGAGACCATGAAAAAGGCACAACATAATGTCTCTGTATACACAACATTCACAAACAGTCAGAGTATACAGAACACACAGAGTACATGCGCGGCAAATATTTTTCAAATAAGAGCTTTAGTTCCACAGGGATACATATGAGTAGATTTTTTGTTCCATACTTCTGTCGTGCACACCTGTCCCTGCCTCTTACCGGTACATTCCCTGACCTGGGTTGCCTTATACTAGTTACGCCCCTTGGAAATTTGACCTGTTAAATTAATAACTGTTTTATTTATACTGGGTAGTCTTATCAGTTACAAAAGTGCTTTCCGTAAGCTGGTAAGGGCCCTGATTCAATTTGAAACATAAATTAATTAATACAGTATGCAGTAATCTAACGTTAGAAAAGATAATAAAACAAAGATGACATGGATAAAACATTAACTTCAAGGCATCTGACGGTGGTGTAAAATAATCAATGGATGGCCACTAAATAACAAGTTTAATAGCGACAGGTTTTTCATTGCTAATGAATGTCAGACACCTTGAAAAAAGGGAGTGTGCAGCAAAATTTGAATGGTGCACCGTAAAAGTGTCAAACTTGCTCATACATGTACATGAGGACAAGCATGGCTCTTTTTACATCAAAGTCACAGTTTTGCCGACAGGGGCTGGTGAATCTATGGCTGGCCATCGGTACAAAAGCAAAAAGCTTTCAAAGCCCTAATTCTACATAAACCCTATTACTCAATATGATATAAAACATGAGATCCTCTTTGAAAGTAATGGGGCAAGTGAACGTTATTGTGGAGGTACAAATGTAACATCCGACACCAATGGTGTAGGGCTGTGCCGAATATTCGAATAACCAAATATTCGATCAATTATTGAATAGTCAAATTTATTTTATTAATTTAGTATTTTCCAAATTTGGATCTCCGAATGCAAAATTCATGAAAAGTTAGGGAAAATGTTCTTTTGCTTTTGATAAATGAGAAAAATTGCATGATAGAGGTTTGTTTCAAGCAGATTCAAATGAAAAGCGACAGAAATCAAAAAGTGGACTATTCATTCAAACAATGAAATTTATCAATCCTTTCTGGACAACTGATAGAGCTGTTGTCATGATGTCATCTATCTAGGGTAGACATACATGTACAGGTACATGTAGCTCAGTTTCGGGTTGATGTTCAAATTGTGAACCTAGAATAAACTTACTGAAAACAGAAATTTCTGAGAAGACGATGGGTGCTAACTTAGTGCTATGCACATAACCATGGAGGAAGGACACAACCATTACCAACAATGAACCATCAGTCTAGAAAAAATCTACAAAAATGCAGGACAAACTAATATAACATTTAGGCTTTCTTCAAGGGATGACATCACACTTTTGCTCATGAATATGGAAATACATGTACTCAGCATAAAACCAAAAGGCAGTAAGATACCTTTCCAATAGTGGAACAACAGTCGAAAATAAGGTTAACTGAGAAACAAAGGTGCACTTTGCAGGTGTATATTTAAAAAAGGTGATTGCAGCTGCCCTGTAACTTTTAGCACATGCTAAAATATACAGTAATCCACAAAAGGGATATCACTTACACTCCTGTCCCAGGCCAGATTTTGACGTAGACATTCTTTCGAAATGATGTATTCTGAATTCAAAAAGAAAATGGGCACAACATAAACAGGATACACATACTGTTCACACTATCTGGCGCTTGATGAGCACCCATCATCAAGTGCAAATAAGCGAGGTTACCGGAGCTAAAATTTCATTTCAGTTTGGGTCTATAAAGAGGGCTTCCACTTCATTTGGTTCAGCATATCAACAAAATAAAATTAAATACATGTACACAACGCTGTAAACCCTACAGCCCCCTGCCATACACATTATACATGTAGACAAAGTATAAAAGACCTCAAGTCCACAGGAAATGGCCTATAAAGCCTAGATTCCATAAAACAAATCACTCCCTTGTAGTTGTTGAATTCTACCATGTCTACTTTTCTAGTACCCACCAGATATGTATGTGTAAAACATGGCCATGGGTCCGAGCTGTGATGCACTGATTAATTTTTCCACTGTCAGTAGCCTGAAAGAGCAGGGCAGTGGTGTACAGGTGGGNAGTGTTCCACAATCCAGTTAATCTTATTTACATGTACATGTTGGGCTTTGTACAGAAAGGGGGGTCCATCTCTGGACACACTTTACATCTTGTGCACAAATCCTGCAAGATTGGTCTGAAAAAGTGTTTTCCAAGTACAGTGTACATGTACATGCACATGTAATGTTTTCATATCACACACACACTGCTGAAGTTGACTTTTAGTACATGTCATCACTTTCTGATGGCTAATAAACCACTGCAAGGGAAAATTAGTCATGACTCTTACCGAGTTCTACTTGGGCCTACAATGTACATCCTACACACTCTGACTGTACTTTCTTTTTTTGCAAACAATCTTTCACACAGGCCTACATGAATAGAAGGAAAAGGAGATTGGTTGATGGTGAAAATATCAACAAATCATGCACTAAGGACAGCGATTGCGTATGTCGACCAATTGTGCACAACACAGGTATAGTACTGAGATACAGGCAGTCTAGGTAACTAGAGTTCCAGGAATCACCTCTTTTAACATTTGGACACGGTTGGCCATCTGACAATAGGCCCAAGTTAACAGGCCGGAAAGAGTTCCATACAGATGCCAGTAATTACATATACATGTTCATGTATCCCTACAGTGACCTACATGTATTAGTCATCAGGAAGCAAAAACAATGTCTAGAAAAGTTCAATTTACAATCATGACAATGTAGGAAGGAAAATACTGAGCTGTTCACTTAGAAAACACAGAAATTTTCAGACCAGTCTCATAGGGTTTGTGCACTGGGTGTCTGTGGCGTCCGCAAAGAACTCTTTCCCAGAATGTGCGCATAGTTAGGTACGGAGATAGAGTCCTCATGGTCATGACTCTGGGTAACTTACGAATCAGGCCCATTTTCCAATACTCAACTTTGTCTCCATCTAACGCTTCATATTAAACTTCAATTCCTGATTGTTGGCCTGGACTTGTGTTTAAATTTAAAACACTGTAATTGCTCTTTTGCATCTTATTTGATGTTCCTGTGCTTGGTACTTGTCAACAGATTGAATAGGCTACGCTGATTGAAAGTCTCACTAAAAAAAAAATGAACAATATTTTGCCTTGCAAAAAAGGTGAAGTCTAAATTGGAGAGGAAGATGAGTATTGGAAAAGGCCCATGCTTGCGATCAGCGATCCTACATTGCTAACACCAGCAGCCACCTCATGCCATGGAAAGCACGGACCAACTTTCGGATGACTAATTACGATCCAGATCCATGTGAAACAACCGGTTCCACGACTTAAGACCTGCTCATAGTCAGGAAAGGCCTAGGCCTACTGTACATTGTACATGTATGTCATCAGTAGATTCCTGTCCTGTACATACCGTAAGCCTAGTCTGCATCTTACAGACCAATGCATATGTCCTCCAAAAGTACATTGTAGCGGGTAATAAATCTGGCAGAATCCTGCCGGGTGTACCTAAATGAGGAGACGATGCCTGCTCAATACACAAAATCAAGCAAAGGCTGATACACCTAGCATATTTTGCTTTTTCTCCTTTGTTACCAAAAATAACTTCAACATAAAATTTATAATTGTTTATTTAGGCCCTATCTAAAATTTAACAGTGACCACTGATTTGGAATTAGGGCCGAGGCGTATATTGATGGTAGGCTAATCACTGAAAAATTACCATCTTCAGAGGCGCCATGTTAGCTGGGATGGGTAGCCCACTTTTGTTTGATTTGCCTCCCACTGAAACGTACTTCATTTTAGAGCATTGCTATTGGCCTAACAAAAACTTATGTTCGGTTAAAATTTATCTATTATGAGTCCCCTTCCCAATGTGTTGATTATCAGGTAATGTTAATTAGCTTTAGCACTCTATTCTATACATGTAGGGAAACCAAGTCCACTTTCTCAAACATTGACCTTAAGGAACCATTACTCAATCCTGATAGGCTTTTTACATGTAGTTTAAGTAATGTTTGACAATATTTTGGCAAGACAACCACTCAGTCGGATCACGCCATTTTGTTCCTAATTTGGTTACCCGACTCAGGCATTTTGAAATTATCAAAACAAATCTCCATCCATGTCATGCATGTCAAGGAACCAAACTACAATGTCACTGTTCACATCTCTTTGGAGCGCGAAATGTACCTGTACACGTATACTGTCATTTTAACTGAAAATTTCCTTCAAACTCCAAAAGCCCTGTTCTCTTTTCTCTCTGTTATGAAAGAGGGCATCACCAACAACTTGTTCCCTTATTGTAGGAACAGGGTGCTAATGGCAATGGTAATGCACCTATCAATTGTTATCCCGGCCCCGGGGGACCCAGGACTAGCAGGGACTTAGCGGGGAAGATAAAACAGGGCCAGCGTGATAGTCTCGGCCAAGTCCCCATAATTTGCCCGGCCAGGGCGGGGCACCCTTTTTTGTATTCCCCGGCTGATCCCCGGCCCTAGCATCCCGGGGCAATCCTGGGCCTGGCGTGCTGGGTGTTCAAGTTGAGACCAATACCTGCACCGTACCTGCCCCAGCATGCGGGGTTGTGATGCAACAACCGTACAACTATAAATAAATAATACCTTTAATTAATTTCTAAAAGTCCCTACTCTTCTGGGTCATTGCTAAGATGACATCGAGGTTTTCGTTTGTCAGGGTAGGGGAAACACTTTGTATTTCATATCGAAGCTCAGTGCTATAAAATTTTACCAATAGACAGTGTAACAAATTGTACAACCCTGGCCAAGTCCCTGCTATCCTCCCGGGTCAGCGGGGCAGCCACTGTAAAGCCCCGGGCAAGTCCCTGCTATCGTCCTGGCCGGTGGGGCACCTTTTTTAAGGACATCCCTGGGTACGTCCCCGCTACATTTTTGAAAGTCCCGGGTCCCCCGGGGCTGGGATTACAATCGACAGGTGCGTAATGAACGCCAATACTGGACTAAGTCTTGTGAGTAGTCTGGTAATCAGGTAATGGCAGGTGCCACACATGCATTACATGTAGCAATATTACAAGCATGCACTATGGTGTAGTGGATTGAAAACTCACACTTTCAGCTCAGCAGGGTCTCCCTAGTCACTCACAGTGTAATTTATTATGGTCAATTTTATTGAGATATCTGCTGCTGCAGTTTCCACTATCTGGTGCACACTGGATGTACATGTAAATGCCCACATTGCGTAAATTTTGCGGGACGTAGAGCATTTCGTGTAACTTAACGAATATCGCGCCACAACTACAGTACATGTACCCAAAGATTGTATAGCGCCGCACAGCGGCGCAAGATAGAGAACTGACCACGTTATTATATGGGGGTCACAATCCGCCATTCTGGTGTGCAACTGGCGGGCTGTTTGTATGTGTGCCATACTGCGGCGTGAGGCTCTATCCACAAAAAAGGGGCAGTTACGGTGGCTGATCTCCGTCAGGAATACACTTTCTATTTTACGGCGTTATAACGCCCTAATACGGAGTTATCGCCCTAACTTATGTCGTAATAACGCCCTACAATAACGCCCTATTATGACGTAATAACGCTCTACGGCGTCCATGCACACAAGTGTGTCAC